TCCGCAGTCAACTTCAGCATTATCAGTATTGTCGCCAACTAAATGTCCATCAAACCCACTGAACTACATCAGTTAGCGTAGTTTCTTACTATATCAAAGTGAACAGTGTCAGGAACAAGCATTCCAGATCAAGACCCGTATGACAAATCCAAGCCCAATTCATCCGATCGTGAGGATCGTCTTCCCATCCCAGGGAAATACAACTGACCCAATAATGTCGATCCGAAGAAATCCTCTCCCAAAAAAAAAAAAAAAATCTTCACCAACAATTTCGATCGTGCCACTTAAAAACAAAAACTCTCCCAAATCAAATCAAATCAAACAAACCCATTCAGAACAACGTTTGATAATAATTCATAGAATGAATCCATTGATCTTTTTTAATAATTAATACGACTTCCGAATACAATTTTTAAATTTCACAAAGGAACAAAAAACATTTGCTGATTTGTTTGATCGAAATTTTGCAGAAAATGAAAAAGTGTTGTGTATGGTTAAGTTTGTTTGAAATAAATTTAAAGATAGATTGGAAAAGTTTTAGAAGAAGACTGAAGATGATGATGATAATGATGATGATGATAAAGTACAGTGAAAAAAGAAGAAAATGATTGAAGAGATAAATGAGCTAAAATATTGCTTCTCGAATATTTTTTTTCAGCAATCACTTTTAGCATATACCTTAGAACTTATTGTTTCTTATCAATTGATCTTTTTATCAGTGGCAATGAGTATCAGTTAGTTATCAAATAAACAAAAAATTGTATCACTTCAACAACAGTCTTTTTTCTTTCCTTTTTCACATTCTTTTTTGCGTTACCAATTTTAAAGCTTTTTTTAAAAATACTATTTATTATAATTTTATTAGCATTTTTGCTATCGCCAAGAGAGCTATGCACGACGCAGTGATAATTTAAGGCCCATTATATTCTTCCAAGTTGACCTAATTTTTATTAATGCTGAAATTTCATTATATAATTCAATAATCGGTATTACATAATAACGAAAAACAGAAATTTGCTTTATTTTAGTCTTTTCGTTAGATTGTTGTGTAAACTGACTGACAGGCGCTGAGATGCTCAGAATGTACGAAATTCTATATGAAAAATGGCTAATGAATAAGACGGATAACAGTGTATGTATTGAAATAAGCATAAACGTGAGTTATTTCACGTAACGATTTTGTTAGATTTATTGAGTTCTGTTCTGAAAAAAAAAAACAAAGCGTTTTTTTTTTTTTTTTTTAAATCAAAAGTGGAACGAAACAGCAGATCAAATAAACCGCTTACTCTTCTCGAACAATATTTCACATATTTCATTCTATTCATATATTTCTACTTTCTCGTTTTACGTGAACATATTATGTTTAGTTCATGTATTCATGGGATTTCTATTGTAGCCAATAAACTGCTATAATTGAAATCAGAGCTATATTAAAAAGTTTTGCATATTAAAAAAAAGACTTTATGGCCTACATATAGAACTTTGCATTAATGACATTTGTAAAGTCTCATCCTAAGTGACCTTTAGAAATATTATTTAAATTTAAAGATTGCAAAAAATTTTTCAGATAAAAAAAAAAGTACAGAACAGGGATATATGTTAAAATTTTTTCACGTTTCACCGTATAGTTATTATAATCCATTTAGAAATCTTTTTTGATTTCTTGATATCATTTATTATTGAGTAAACAAATAAGGTCTGTATCAATTTTTTGTTTTTTTATATCAAAAAAACAAAATTAATTTTTCAAAAATACATTTTTCTGTTAAATAAAATTAATTTTTTTTTTTTTGTAATAATTGTATCAGTTATTCTTCTATTAGAAATTTTACAGTGAAAAAAAAAAATGAACTTTAAGTGAATTTATCAGGACGAATGTATAATGGATGATAACAAAAGTATGCAGACATAAATAAACAAAAGTGCAAAAAATTAAGCAACAAATTAGTAAATTAATAAGTCTAGCGAACAATGAAAAAAATGCTTAGAAATAAAAATATTATAATTCAGCATGGAATAAATCAATCAATCGACGGGTAAAAGAATAAAAGTAAAACGAATAAAATATTTGTAAAATTAATAAACAATCAAATACATAATTAAAATTCCAACATTAAATAATTAAAATTCCAACATTATACGTTGCATGAGATTTTTTATTGTGGCCAGAGAATTCAATCTAACTTTTAAGTAATAAGTTTTATGTGTGTGTGTATGTGTGTGTGTATGTGTGTGTGTATGTGT